GCGCCACGGAGCCCGGCCCCGCGGGCGGCTTCAAGAGCTTGTCACCCACCACGCAGCCGGTCCCCAGACACCGCCCTGCGTCCGGAGAACGTTCCGTTATTTCTCTGATTTAAACTGGCTAACGCGGTGGCTCCCAAAACTATTCTTTAAGTTCCTGTTGTACACAGACACCATGGGGAAATGTACAGATAAGCGTCCGGCTGGTAGGACACGGGAGGAAGCCAAAGCGGACGTAGAGATCCACAACGACAACTCTCGGAGCCGATGCCTGAGGTTGTGCATTTCTGACGCAGTCCCAGGTGATGCCGATATTGCTGGGCTGAGGACTTTGTAAGAGACTTAAATTCGATAAGTTACCCGTCAATGGGATAGGTTGCAAAGGGATACGAGAAAAGTGTGTTCATTATTTAGATTGTAGTGGTTTCTCTAGTGCCTGCATCATAACCGATCCAATTCTACACCTTAAATGCATTCAGAGTATCGCATGACAATCTGGAGTCATTAAAAAAAGAGTCTCTCAGAAACAGACATAAAATGAAACTACATAAACAACGCCCAGAGATGCAAATTCACAGGTGAATTTTCTATATAAAAAAGTCAAATTTCCAGTCTTTGAAATAAAGACTTTGTCCAGTAAATGAGAATCCATAAAGAAGTGAGCATCAGAAAGAAAAGTTGTATGTAAACTTCTCAGCGGATCAAGATACATTCCAAATGGATCAAAATTTTCGATGTAAAAAGTTGAAACCATAAAAATACTATCACGAAACACTTCTAAATAACAGTAAAAAGTCTCTCTGAGATTTAAGTCTCTCTGAGATTTAAAATTCAGAAAAAGGAAATCGTTAAATTAACCATATAAACTGAGAAACTTGCATGGAGGAGCTCCACCGTCAGTAATGGTGTATTAAGAAGCTCACATCCATTCTTCTGTAAACAGCTAGGACAAAATGTTTTTTACCAAAGGCTTCTGTTTTGAATGCGTGGGATGGCCACCAAGGTTGTGTGTGAGGAATTGTGTGGCCACACTCTGCAAAATAAGAAGCTCCAAGAATTCACCCCAATGTTTGGGGGGGCCTTCTCCCTAACAGCAGTTGCTGACAGGACAGCAAGGCCTGAGAGGCCGACGAGGTGAGCAAACACTCGACAGACTCCTGACTCAAGGAGATAAAAATTGAAATTTAAGGACCACGGAAAAAGGAAGGGCCCTAGTAAACATCCTGCGTTTTCAGCAGGGAAGCTGAAAGGCCCAACCTATGAGTGAGAAAGTACCAGAAATAGGCCAGCCATCACAGAAGTGAAGACGTTAGCATTTGTATTCCTTATCTGAGGCAGGTGATCTGGAATTGCCGGTTCTCTCAGCCTACCTGCCTGCCAGAAAGAAAACGAAATCCTATCTGGATTAAGATGACGTCTTCCAGACTCTTGTTAATTTTTAATGTGATATCCAACATGGAATTAAACACACATATACATATCTCCAAAAAAAGTAAGACACAAAACAGACACACAGACAAAACATATCACAGGAGATCAAGAAAATGAACTTATTGGACCAAAGCAACAACCAGAACTATGAGGAATATGTTCAAGGAATTGGCAGAGAATATTGAAAGAAACGTGTGACATGAATGAACAAGTTTCTCAACTTCTCTTGGTCTCATCTGTGAAATGACGATAAAACAGCCATCACCGGAAACACTATATCAAAAGCAGGAAT